AGAAGCAGAAGGTTGACGCGTTCGGCAAACATGAAAGACTCGTGCGTGCCTGTCTTTTAAATTAAAAAATCAAAATTCTTTATTTTTGGTTTTTCGCCAACAGATCGTAACTTTCTTATTTCTTACTATTTTTTCATGAAACTTTTACTATTGTATTTGTCTCGTTTTTCTGATTAAAATGACACCAAACACGATATGATTACGATCGTAATTACTTATGTAACAAGCCATGGAAGTTTGGGATGTAACATTTACGGTAGAGGTGCGAATTTATTTTTTTTTTTTACGTGGGGGAAATCTTCCAAAAATATCCCGCACCCTTGGGAAAGGGCACGGGGTAATGTGGGATTTTTACCCACTAAAACCCCCACGGGGGTCCTTCCCCGGCGCATGCGGGGGCCCCAAGAGGGATACGAATTCCTAACATTATCCGTTGGAATTGGAGCAGTAAAAAAGAAAATCTTGCACCACACGCTGTTTTTATGCAATATGTACATTGTGTCTTAATATTTAATACAATTAACTATTAATGTAAAAAATGTAATGTTAACACTTACCTGTAATTAATGCTGTTACCTTTCTAGAAATTTTCGTCTGCATCTTCGTTTTATTTCTTACTTCCTAAAAGGGTCATTTTCAATGACTGAACTTGTAGTCGGGCTGATGGTGGCATCCGCGGTACTTAATTTTCTAATGTCCCAAATAATAAATTTAATTCGTTTCTTTCTTCGGCATTTAATTTTATGCCACTGTCTTCTGGCGACTGGTCATCTTCATTACCCTTTTCTTTTGCTTCCTCTTCTGCATTATTGTCCGCCTCTTCATTGGTTTCCCTATTGCTTACCTGTAATTAATGCTGTTACCTTTCTAGAAATTTTCGTCTGCATCTTCGTTTTATTTCTTACTTCCTAAAAGGGTCATTTTCAATGACTGAACTTGTAGTCGGGCTGATGGTGGCATCCGCGGTACTTAATTTTCTAATGTCCCAAATAATAAATTTAATTCGTTTCTTTCTTCGGCATTTAATTTTATGCCACTGTCTTCTGGCGACTGGTCATCTTCATTACCCTTTTCTTTTGCTTCCTCTTCTGCATTATTGTCCGCTTCTTCATTGGTTTCCCTATTGTCCACATCACTTGGTTCTTCAACTGCCATTTCCAATGACAATCTTTTTTCGTTTTGATGGGAACTTCGTAATAACTCTGACGTTGTATTTGGCGGCAAATACATTATCACAAAATTCTCATCCTCTGAGTAATTTTCTGGCATTTTATGTCCCGAACAGTTGTCAAGTAATAAAATTGTTTTTCCTAAAATCCCGTTTTCTAACTGAAAATTCCGGACGCTTGGTTTAAAATGATTATCGTACCAATCTGCGAATAACTCGCGAGTCATCCAAGCATTTTTTTGGAATTTATATATGACTGGTAAATTATCCATTATATTTCTTAACGCTCTAGGTTTTTTGTATTTATTAACAACTAACGGCGTTAATTTGTGGGTCCCACTTGCATTTGCACAAAAAGCTACTGTGACTCGTTCCTTCCGCTGTTTGTGTCCAGTAACTTTCTCATTTTGCGGAGCTAAGGTTTTGGTTGGCAATGCCTTTCACAATAAGCCACTTTCATCCAGGTTATAAATTGTATCCGCGTTGACATCATTTTCCTCCATAAATGTTTTAAAATTGTTTCTGAATGTATTTGCTGCATCTTCATCAGCACTGGCTTCCTCACCATATATTTTTACTAATCGAATGTTGTGCCTATTCTTAAATTTTTCCAGCCACCCATTGCTGACTTTGAAATCTGATGTTGATGGCATACTTTCTTTCAGTTCTTGTGCCTTTTCCAAAAGCAGAGCATCCGTTACATAATCCCCCAGTGTTCTTCTCTCTATGAACCAGCTGTACAATTCTCGATCTATTTCGGAGTACACTGGACCCGTTGCCGTTTCTTCTGTCGCTTATCTTTCTCTTCAAACTCCATAATTTTTGTAGTATTCCGTTTTATTCTCCTAATAGTCATAGTGCTGACTTCATATTTTTTAGCAACTGCTGATATGGGTATTGTTTCCAAGTCCTTTAAAATGTCCAAACGTTGCTGCATATTCAGCGTGACTTTTTTAGCCGCCATATCACTTCACTTATTATGTACTATTACACTACTTATGAGCACTTCACACTATTTATAAAAAATAAACACTACTTATGAGCACTTCACACTATTTATAAAAAATAAACACTACTTATGAGCACTTCACACTATTTATAAAAAATAAACACTACTTATGAGCACTTCACACTATTTATAAAAAATAAACACTACTTATGAGCACTTCACACTATTTATAAAAAATAAACACTACTTATGAGCACTTCACACTATTTATAAAAAATAAACACTACTTATGAGCACTTCACACTATTTATAAAAAATAAACACTACTTATGAGCACTTCACACTATTTATAAAAAATAAACACTACTTATGAGCACTTCACACTATTTATAAAAAATAAACACTACTTATGAGCACTTCACACTATTTATAAAAAATAAACACTACTTATGAGCACTTCACACTATTTATAAAAAATAAACACTACTTATGAGCACTTCACACTATTTATAAAAAATAAACACTACTTATGAGCACTTCACACTATTTATAAAAAATAAACACTACTTATGAGCACTTCACACTATTTATAAAAAATAAACACTACTTATGAGCACTTCACACTATTTATAAAAAATAAACACTACTTATGAGCACTTCACACTATTTATAAAAAATAAACACTACTTATGAGCACTTCACACTATTTATAAAAAATAAACACTACTTATGAGCACTTCACACTATTTATAAAAAATAAACACTACTTATGAGCACTTCACACTATTTATAAAAAATAAACACTACTTATGAGCACTTCACACTATTTATAAAAAATAAACACTACTTATGAGCACTTCACACTATTTATAAAAAATAAACACTACTTATGAGCACTTCACACTATTTATAAAAAATAAACACTACTTATGAGCACTTCACACTACTTATAAAAAATAAATACTAATTATAGGAACTTAACACTATGTACTTATACAGTGAGTCACAGCCAAAATCGTACATCGCGTATATGAATACGTTTCTTTTCGTGAAAAAGTTCAAGTATAGGGGAAAAAATATAACGAATCTATATTGTAAATGTATCTATATTTATGCAGTAGTGTCAAATGAAACAGAGTTGTCTAAATATAAAAAGAACAGACTTCCTATGATTCATGTTGAAAAATGCCTCACAGCTAAAATCGTACATTTGTAGAAAAATAAGCAACAATTTGTTTTAATTAAAAGTTAGTATTTTGTTGGATACCCACGACTACATTGTACCGCACGCAATCTATTTGATATGGATTTTACCAATTTTTCAGTAAAACTGGGTTCAATTTTGCTCCATTCCTCCATTAATGCCTTTTTTAAGTCACTTTTATTTTTAATGGTATGTTTCCGAATTCTTATCCCTAATTCGTTCCAGACATGTTCTATCACGTTCAAAGTAGGTGACTGTGGCGGTGTGTTCAGTACTTTAGGGCAATTGTACAATACCCACATTTTGGCTACATGCGAAGTGTGTTTGAGGTCATTGTCGCTATAAAACTTAAATGTATTTAAAATCCCTAATTTTTCGGCACTGTTCTTCAAATTGTTTTTTAAAATATTTATGTAATCATATTTATTCATATTGCCTTCGATAAACACTAAATTTCCCACTCCGGCAGCAGACATGCAGCCCCAGACCATTACTGATTGCCCTCCATGTTTCACAGTACTGTTTAAATTTTGAATTTTGAACTCTTCATTTGGTCGACGCCACACCGTAATTTTGCCATCTGAATGGAATATATTAAATATACTTTCATCCGTAAATATTGTTTGTTTCCAAAAGTCAAAGTCTTTACATAAATATTCTTTTGCGAAATCTAATCTTTTTTTTCTGTTCTTCTCGCTTATAAAAGGTTTATTTCGAGCTGTACGTCCGTTAAAATTGTGTTTTCGGAGTACTCTTCTTACTGTTTCTGGATTTACACTTTTCCCTAAATATGTTTCAACTTCATTCGTCAGTTTCGGTGCACTAATCTTCGGATTCTCTTTAATTTTTCGTACTATCCATCTTTCGTCGTACGCGTTAAACTTTTTATTTGGAGCTTTCTTTAATGCATTACTTATTCTATTTTCATTTTCATATCGTTTTATAATATATTGAACAGTACTAGCACTTCTACCAATAATTTTTGCAATTTCACGATAGCTTTTTCCGTTTTGAAAATTTCTTATAACTATTTGTCGCACTTCTATCGTTGCTTGCTTCATTATTATAATATATTTCTTTATATTTTTCAACTACGGACTTTACGACGCTAAAGGACAATTGCAAATGAGCCAAAAAATGCAATCTTTCATTTGTTTCATGCTTTTTATTTGTTTTTTCAGGGATTCCCCTTGGAAAATGCTAACAAATATATGCTGTACGATTTTAGGTGTGAGGCATTTTACAGCCAGAATCATAGTAACTTTGTTTTTTTTTATATTTAGAGAACTCCGTTTCTTTTGATACTGCTACATAATAAATATAGATACATTTACAATATAGATTCATGATATTTTTTCCCCTATACCTTACCTGAAATTTTTCACGAGAAGAAACGTATTCGTATATGTGATGTACGATTTTGGCTGTGACTCACTATGTACTTATATGTACAAAATTAATACTATAAGATAAATATATTGTACTTCGTGCCGTCAAAGTTTAAAGTATTATCCAAATGATTTGATAATAATGTTGCTGATACTTGTATGAATCTTGTATGAATCTATGTAATCTCTTCCGACTGTAAGAGCGAGCGTGAAGAGCGCGAGTAAAACATTGCATTTTCCGTCGATAGAATATTCCATCGACGCGATGGTTAAAGAAACTGTAACGACTCTGGAACCTAGATTCAGATAGTTACTAGCGCTAGTAAGGTAAAGAGCGGCTTTTACCAACTGAACGACTCGTTTTGGAAAATAACTAAATATAAAGATTGTGGGATTCGTGTGGTGTGCGGTTAAGGAGTGAAATCCACAGATCAATATCTTTCAACAATAAGGTTTATTCAATAAAATAACGAAGATGATGAATTTAACAATTAACAAGTAACAAATAACAACAAAATATGAAAAGTATACTGGTTTGATCAAAAGAAACTAAATAGATTTTGATATAATATTGATAATAGAAATAATAGAACTTGGCAAATTAAACAATACGTAATAGGTAATTGTGATTCTAACTAAATCTGATTCTCGCTAGTTAATACTTTATATTATTTCGTACCTAAGTCTGATTTCCGATAAAGCTAACTTCGCCTTTACATAATTACTGAATTCGGTTTTCTATAAGATTTGATTCTCGGTTTCGA